GTTGGCTTTCTTGGACTGTGAGGTCTCAGTCTCTGATAGAGGACATTTGCAAACTGAGGTGTACCGCAAACCCACCCACACAGACCAGTATTTGCAGTTTGACTCCCATCACCCTTTGTAGCACAAGTTAGGAGTCATCAGGATTCTGTACCACAGAGCAGACAGCGTCCCCACTAACTCAAGAGCCAGACAGAAGGAGAAATCCCACACAAGACAGGCTGTAGAGAAGGGGTCTGCAACCTGCGGCTCTTTCGAGCTTTGATCAAAACTAACATATAACTGAATTATATTAGTTGTTATACAATCAACAAAAAATGACGTTTTAGCTGTTTTCTATACTTAATTATTTTTTCCACAATTAAAAAAAATCTGTTTTCCCCCTCTTTGCAAGAATCTGGACTTTTCATTTGTCTTAAATTGTAAAAATGTCAATATATATTAAATTCATTAAATATTTTAAATGTCACCCTTACTGGCCACAAAAGTCTTCGCCAACAAACCTAAAGTGGCCCACTGGCCACCAGTTGATAATAACAGTTGCAGCAAGTTGTTGCGGCTCTGGACATGTTTAATTTAGTGAATGAAGGTGTAAAAATGTCTCTTTTACTGAACTAGAACAATGTGGATATCCTAACTGGGCCTTCATTTAAGCAGAGAAGAAACCCAAACAGGACTCCAGCCAGCCATCATGTGTCATCACTTTTCTAATGTTGGGGTTAAAAGACATGTCCTGATCAAAATAACACCAAGGTTTTTAACTTTAGAACTGGAGACCAGATTAATGCCATCCAGAGGAAGTGAAAGACTGAAAAATTAATTCCTAAGCTGGTCTGGTCCAAAAACCAAAACCTCAGTCTTGTCTTTGTTCAAAAGCAGAAAATTAAGGGTCATCCAGGTTTTATGTCTTTAAGACATGCTTGAAGTCTAATTAACTGATTGGATTAATTGGGTTTCATGGACAAATATAACTGTGTGTCATCAGCATAACAATGAAAATCTATTCCATGCTGTTTAATAACTTTACCTAAGGGAAGCATATACAAGGTAAAGAGTATTGGTCCAAGCATTGAACCCTGAGGGACTCCATGACTAGCTTTGGTGTATGAAGAAGATTAATCATTTATATTTACAAATTGGAATCTATCAACTAAATATGATTTAAACCATTTTAGAGCCATTCCTGTAATCCCAATATCATGTTCAAGTCTGTAGTAAAAATATTCTGATCAACTGTATCAGAATTATTTAGGATTTTTGCTAGTATCACTCAGCCCTCTGTGAATAGTAAGCGACCATCAAGGCACTAATTATTGATTGTTAGGCTGATGGTCCTCCCTTTGCATTTGAACAGGCAGTGTTGGCTGTCATCAGCAACTGGTTGATCCACTATGAGAAGGTTCTGAGTTTGTTGCAGTTCCTCAGACTGAAGAAGTCCTTTAAATAAAAAATGAAACATTTCAACAAGAAGAATCCGTCCAGAGGACCTGACTCAACCTGGTTAGATTTATCTACCTAGATTATTGAGTATACATAAGGTCATTACTTTGAAAGTTTCATCAAACTCCTATCAAGTTAACAATATATTTTGCTAACAGACAGACAGGGTTAACTCAGTAATGAACAGTAGTATTTTAAGAATACAGTTCTGGTGAGATTACTTCCAGTGACTATAAGTTGTGAATGACTTTGGGCTAATGCCACATCAAATTAATTGACCATCATCATTTACCATCATTTTTGTCTCAGCTGGGTGAACAACTTAAAGTGAACTGACTGAATTACCATATTTTTTGCTGTATAAGTTGCAGGTTTTTGCATAAATGAGCATACCTGCGACTTATAGAGCAAATCAATGCATTTATGCTTTTTTCTCATGTTTATAACACAACTTTTGGCTGAGATCTGACAATTTCATTCATTCTGACTTGGAAAATATTGAACACTACCATTTTCAGCCACTAGAGGGCTCTCGACTAATATGGCAAGCCAAGTGTCTCATTAATAGGTAAAAGTGGCTATTAATGAGACACTTGGCTTGCCATACAAAGCCACCTTTGTCTCGCTCTGGAACTCCTGGAGCAAACGTCAAATCAGCTGCATTTTGCCGTGCCGCCCAGGTGAAATGCAGCTGATTTGACTGTTAAAGTGCATTTATTAAGGAAAAGTTCTACTGTGACACACCTTTACTATAATGAGCAAACAATGTTTACGTGGATTTCTTGGTAAATTTAGAAGAAATCCATAGCAAGTCGTCCCTCTGCGCGCTCCTGCTTCTGTGTATCGGCTTTTGCAATACAGCTGATTTGACTGTCAAAGTGCATAAAGGAAAAGTTAAACTGAGACACACCTTTACTATAATTTCGAGCAAACAAATAATTGTTTTTAAGTGTTAATCCTGTTCAATTCTTGTTAAAGTCCTCCCGTGCACATTCCCGCGGCTGCCATTTGGCAGCCAATCAATTTTTGGCACAACACTGGCCCACAT